TATATATATATATTATAATTAAAATTTTAAAAAAAATAATTCGTTATTAAGAAGTATTCTTTATTTTGTACAAGAATTAATTTTCTTTGAAAATTTGACAGACATTAAATAAATAATCATCTTTTTTAAATTTATATTTTATATATACGATAATTTATATATATATATATTATTAAAATATAATTTTTATTTTTAAATATATATATATTTAATGAAAAAATATGTATATATGAAATGATAGTGAGGAGAGTGTCCCATTATATTACAAGTGCAAGTGCATTGGTCTTTGGACATGTGCTTATTAAGTTCAGAAATAGATAATTAAGTTTGCATTAATTTGATATATAATTACAACAATCGTCTCTATTATGTCGATACCATGCATATAAGAAGACATTGAAACCTGACAAGTAGCTAAAGGCAAGGAATTATACATAATGGGGTTTAGAAGATAGATCCGTGAGGCTAGAAGCCAACATGTCATCGTTAATTATTGTAAAGACACAGGCAAATTGACAAAGTTCAACGCATATTTAACTTGCAGATCCCCAGGCAAGAATATATAGGGTATGAATCATTAGGATATCCATGATCATATATATCGAGCTAATTCCCTTTCTTTGAAAGTTTACTTTATTGACTTTATCATTTATCCGTCCATGCTTTTCCTTTCCTCACCAAGCAAACGCATCCCTTTACTTTATGTCCTTATCGATTCGATCAAATATATTTTCATGCCAATAATGTATTTCTTTTGACCAAACTCAATAAATTAGCTAGATACTTTGTTTAGTTAATTACTAGCGGAGAAAATAAATTTTGTAACTATTCGATTCTTCAAAAGGATTTTTTTTTTTTTGTTGAAAATGTCTTGTTTAGTTAACTTTACAGTTAATATTTGAATTACTATTCTTTTATAAAAATTAAAATAAATGATCGTTAGAAAGTACATTGGATTAAAATATGGAAGAGATCTCCATCATTGAACAGATCTTTGTATATATCAATGAATGAATAAATCAACTAAATACAAATGCATTTGAAACTATAATTCAAAATCTTTAAACATTAGATAGATGAGCCTTCTTACATATATTTATTGCTCAATTATTTACTTTTACTTAATGTAATACTTTTTTATTCATATTTATTACCTAATAAGGACAATCTCAATGAATCAAATATGTTAATTACTTTATTAAAAGATGAGATGTTAACAAAATTTTATAATAAAATAATTAGATAGCAACGTAGATATTTTAATTTTAATATAAAGTCTTACTTTCAAAAGTAATTTGGAATGAAAAAAATAAACAATTGATACTAATTAAATTAGAGCAATAACTTTTATAAAAAAAATTTATTTCTTTCTTGTTTGATTTGTTGAGGGACTAGACCTCCTCAAAGAGGATGAATATATGTAAAGTATGTAATTCTCTCTCTACATAAGCTTTCATATTTAAGGTTAAAATTTAAATATTGAACATCTTAGTTAAAGGATATAAGTTACTACCATTTGTACTAACCAACATTAATATATCTATCTCTCTCTCTCTCTCTCTCTCTATATATATATATATATATATATATATATATATATATGTATGTATGTGTGT